ATTACAGTCTCTCGCATCGTCAAATTGAAACTGCCTTTTTTGCGCAGTCTGATTTGTACGTGCATTTTGTCAGAATGAGTTCTCAGATTAAAGCTTTATTTCATTCCGAGAACCTAACTACCTGCAAGAAGCATGCAATGATCTTCACTACTTTCCAACCTGTTTAGATCTAGTTCATTGCAGCATTTAATTTTTGAGACGAACTAAGCAGAGCAAAATTGTAAGAGAGCAGAATTATTATGCAAGGCAATTACACTCTTTCACATCCTCGAAAAAAATGAGATTATTTTTCACAGTCTGAGTTGTACGTGCAGTTTTGCGTTTAAAACACCTTTTCAAAGAACTCAAAGACTATTCTCTTCATAAAACCTTACTTTGCATTACAAAACACAATGATTCATCATTTATTTCAAGCCATTATTATCTAGTCTCTTTCAATAGTCTGACTTCTGCCTGTAATTTTGTTTGAGAAATTATCACATCCAAGCCTATGCTCCAACCTACTTCGTTCAAACTGTTAGACTTTACAAAATTGTTCACAGTGCACATCATGCTCCATGATGTAATGTATCTATGTGGTACTACTTGCGGCTTCATTGTCGTTTATAGTTGACAGCTGGACAGTGATATCTACCAATACTCAGAAAAACCCGACATGAGGATGGCAGATGTCAAGATGGAAGTTGTCTTTTGGGGATACAGGGCTTATCAAGTATCGCAGTGTCGCTTGCATCAGCATCTCCGCTCCCGCGGTGAACTCTGCATCTCTTCCGCGAACGTGCTCTCTAATCACTTTCCCAGGGTAAGCGTGGGAAAGGCGGAGCCTCAATCGATAGGAAGTGATCAGAGAGCATGTTCGAGGAAGAGAAGCAGAGTCCAGCGCGGGAGTGGAGATGCTGATGCAAGCGACACTGCGACACTTGATAAGCCCTGTATAAGCCAAGAGGTTTTATATCGTTTACCCCACAAGTGCAGCTACCTCTCTTCCCTCTGTGTCTCTAAGGCTGCGTCCATACTGATCCCGAAGTTACAGTTCCAGCACAGTGTTCAGTTCGAGCGCTGTGCTGGAACTGTTCCCGAACTTCGGGATCAGTATGAACGCAGCCTAAGGGTTGTTTCATACTGCCGCACTGACTGCAGCAGTCTGCACTGACCGCAGCAGACTGCAGCAGACTGCAGCTGACTGCACTGACTGCAGCAGACTGCAGCTGACCGCACTGACCGCAACGACCGCAGCGGCTGAAGCCTGCAGGCGGAGAGGATAAATAGCTGTGGTTCAAAAACAACAACACTATATACGTAAAAGCAAAAGACAACACGGTTTAGAATGTTACAAAACAGGTATATGCAATGATAGGAGGAATTAGAACAGATACGAACATGCCAAAGAAAACTATCGCCAAAATTTGATTGAGAAGAATTCTGATGGAACTTATGATCCTCTTATGCGTAAATCACGCTGTTTTGATAATCGCGGTTGTTTTTTCTTTTGAAAAAAGAGGCTGCGACCGGCGCGGTCAGTGCGGTCAGTGCGGTCAGCTGCAGTCAGCTGCAGTCTGCTGCAGTCTGCTGCAGTCTGCTGCAGTCAGTGCAGTCAGCTGCAGTCTGCTGCAGTCTGCTGCAGTCAGTGCGGCAGTCTGAAACAACCCTAAACTGCGATAGCATGACCAATATGTTAGCAACACGCAAGAAATTGTTAGCAACGTGCTGGCTATCATCTTTGAAGCCAAGTTGTTGTTGCATATTGCAGCATTTTAGCCATGCGTGCTGCAGGGCAGGATAGAGGACAACAGATCGCCGAAGGATGAGGTCACGCGCGGACGTATGCAACAAACCACGCGCCTTCAACATCACTGTTCTATGCTAGCTGTCCGCGCGGGTGGAGCCTATCGGAGACCTAATGTCCTCCGCCCGCAGGGCAGAAACGCAGAGCAATGACAGAAGCATTCGTGGAGTGGACGATACATACGCGTTTAAATTTGTTACGTTTTAATATCCTCAGCTAGCAGGGTCATGAGCAAGCTTTCGCATGGCTGACGTGCTCAAACAAAATCTCGTTAATCTAGAGTATCGAATCTGCTTTCCTTTCCTGCAAAACCTTCCCGAATGAAGTTGTGAGCGCTTGAAAGTTTGAACTTGTCAAACCATAAGTGGCATAAAATCAGCAAAAAGCTGCACATGAACGCCTATGCGACTGAAGTGGATGTTTGCTTTCCTTGTCCTCAAAGTGCTACAAAGTTGATTACCCCTAATCAACCGTTTATGTACAGCTCTTCGCTGATTTTATTCCGCCTCAGTCTTCGCAGACTAAAATCAAACGCTCATAACTTCCTTCAACAGTTGTTCGATAGAAAGTAAGCTTCTCTGCACTGACTAGTATGCGAGTGGCTTGTTCAAAGCAGGAACGATACGATATAAAATCTGATATGCAAAAGGACAAAAAAGGAAAGGTTTCAAAAACTATGAGAGAAGAATGTGGAAAAAGGTGTGACAGATTTTTTTGGAAATTACTATTGGTGGTAGATTACTTGTTTGCAACGCATGTATCTAATAATACGACTTCAAATTCGGTGGGTGTATGAGCAATGGAAGTTGTATGAAAAATTTGTGATTGAAACATGCTTTACTCTTAGGCAAATAAGTGGCAATTGCCATTCTAAAGCCATCCTAGTAAAATTTCACGTAATTTTCCATGATTCTTGCTTAAGTCTGTTCAACATCCAATGTTCATGGTATAGTGAAAATTTTGTTAAGACTCTAATTCTTCTCTTTGATCAAAATAGCAGCGATACAAATCGCCGTTTGTTGGAGAAGAAGGCGCGCTCCAGTTGAACGATTTGCGCAGCTGAAGCGATCAGGGAAGAAGTCGAAAAGTGGAAGGCATAAGGCAGGTTCAACGAGTGTCCACTTGCTACTCACTTACGTTCACTCCAAAACAACGTCTTGCCTGCATAGGCGCTGCTTGGTAAACTTCATGCATTTTGCTACACTGTTCATATCAAGAAGAAATTGAGGAGCAAATTTGTTCTTAAAGCTTCATGCCGACTCGTTGTGGGACCTATGTCTACAACATTGAGGGCATGCACCTCTAACGGTGCCATGCGTTGGTGGGCGAGAGAATTTGTTCCATTTCCATGGTTGGGGGATAAACAATCTACCATACCAAAATGAAGATGCCGAACCATTGCCTCTAAGGCTAAGACAACATTGAGCCTAACGACTGATGAGCCTGTGCTTCAGAGCTTGCAAAAACCTAGTCAAAATGCCTACCATTGACTTTTACGCAATCCTGATACCGCCAAACCTGTCCCCGCGAATGCCTTTAAGAAACCGTAATCCTTGTTTTGTGACGGTCCTTATGTAAATTGTACTCGAGGTATCTCTACATTTTCGTCAGGTTGGACAACCCACAATTCTATACATAAGAACTCTCGTTTTTAAAGACATCGCGCATTTCATGTGAAAGTGAAAAGTCGAGGGCAGCTAAGATAGCAACAACGCTCACTAATGTCATTGTAGAATCGGAATTTGATTCTTTGTGAAAGCAGTCACCTCGTTGAGATCACCAACAAGGTGGGTGGATGTATTTGTGGCATACACAGAGTAGTCCTTATGAAGTGTGACAAGGAGATGAAAAGGAAGAGTTCTGCAGTTATGAAGGGCAGTTTTGGGATCAGCGCCAAAGGCGCTTCTGGTAACTTGCATCTCTTTTCAATATGCGAATGTCTTCCCTTTCCCTTATTATCAATTCACTCGCATTCTCTGCTAACAAATATAGGCGTTGTACTTCAGACATGAGTAATAATAATGAAACTTTTGAGTTTTAGTGCCCTTATTAAACTTCGAGTGAGGGCTAACATCAACGAAGCTGTAGATACGCCTAGTCCTGTTGTTCGCCTTCCGCATACGTCCTCATTTTTCACACCAACATGCCGTGCTCACTAGAAGTAGAGCCGAAAAGTTTGGATATGGTCCTCTAAACTTCCAATATGATTGGAACTTTTGAGAATGTCATAGGGTTTATACAGGCTTTGGGGAGATATGGTCTATGTAAAGCACACGGGTGATACAAGCAGGGCCCGGCACAGATCGTCTGGAACCAGGCTGGACTTTGTTTTTAGAGCAAAAAGCAAAAGAGGTATCGTTTTTGATGAGTCGGGCCGAGCACCAAGAATAAGCGCCATTGAGCCAAACACTTTTCGGACAAGTTATCACACGATTGACATGCTCTATCGTGTGCGGCGAAAAGTGCGCGCGATTTGAAAGCAAAGCTAAAGCAAACAAATTGCTTGTATGCAGCGCACACAGAATCATATGACACCAAAATTGAACTGTATGCATACAAAATTATTTGCTAAGGAATTACGCAAAAAAGGTTTGAAAACTTATGTGAAGTACTACCTTTTCATTAGTCCGTCTCCAGACGGCAGTCGATCTGAGATCGTCTGGAGCATATCTGTCACTTCACATAAGTTTCGGATTTTTCTATCATGGACGGATACGGTCCAAAATCTATCCCTGAGCATGAAGACATTTTTATATTATTGCCCTTTGTTTTTTGCCTCAATTTCTTCATAAATCGCTCTTTTAATTATCGCGCTCCATTGCCAAACTCTTATGCATGCGTAGTATGCAGCTCCAACTTGTATTTTCACTCTCATCTCACGTTTTTTTCTTTCAGACTAGTATTTCTTGTTCTCATCTTTTCCTTAGTAGGTTAGTCAACGGGGACTTCGTAAAACTACCGAAAGTCAAGGGAGACTTTGTTTCCAAAAACCCTAGAAACCGACTCGTGCCGGGCCCTGGGTACAAGTTATCGTTGTGTTGCTGCGGCCTCAGTTTCTTCTTCATTTTCCACTTGTTTCACCAAAAAATATCACAGTCAATTCTATTCAGATTCTTGTTCCATCTTTCTAAACAAATTTACCTCTTAATATATGCAAACACTTTATCGTTTCAATTCTACCTTAAAATTTTCATAGCTCAATTGTACTTTCCAGATGGATCCTGATTGTTCCGATGCTGCTGATTTTATCGCATATACTCCGCAGCGTATCATTGTAATCGTGCAATTTGCATTTTCCCTTTTTTCGGTGTTGATCAACTGTTTGTTCTATAAACGATGGAGAAACAAAATATTCTTCCACAGCAACTTTCGGGTAAGTCTGGTTGCTCAAGTTCTTTTTGCTCATCTTATCATGCACCTTAAAAGCATATACTACAAGCTCTTAAAAGTGCAACCATAAATGTGTAGCTCTCTGTAAGTCTAGTTCCCGAATATCGTTTTTAGCTTTCCTCACTCGGGGTCTTCATGCTTAGCTCAACACTTCTCGGGAACCCGAGCTTGTAGATAGCTAGGAGTCTACGGTTGCACAAAGGCTTGTAATCAATGTTAGTGTAAAACACCACAGCATCACTTGGGTACGAACATGAAAATCTTCGTTCTCTTGATTTCTAGCTGAGGAAAAATACAGCAACGGCACATTTGAGGGTCTAGTATGGAGTTTACATGCGTGAGCGAATGAGAGATCCGTAGGATTTTTTGGACGAAGATATCGATATTCTTAATGTTTGGGCATCCGGAACATTTTAAATTTTGATTTGAACTTGAGGTGGATCAAGAGTGCAGTAAAAACACAAACGCCATTTTATATTAGAGCTTGCTTTGCTCTATCGAAAGGCATCCTGATATCCATTTAGAATAAAAAGTGTGTGACTTATTGAAAACTGAAAAGTGAAAAGACTTATGGGACAACCTACTAGATATATTGCTGAATCATGCATCATTTACAGATTGCAAGAACTTTGCTCATGACTAGATTATAACAATTTGCATCTATCGTGATATCACAGGGTGTTAAAACGTTTTAACTCCAATTTCTCATTATTCTTACACCATAAGGTAGTGAAGCAGCTAAGAAAAATACGAAGGAGAACGATACTCTCCATCATTACTGAAAGAGGATTGCTTTTAGATTTGTAGCAAACTATGGCTGGTTAGAAAATTTGGTGCTGCTAAGATTCAAACTTTTGCTGTCTTCGTATAATAACCCATTAGGTCCATAAAAAGCCTTTTCAACTTTGTGATCAGGAAAATGAGTCGTTTTTGGTAATTCGAGTGGCTTGCCAAATTAGCAAACAATTTCACTTACATTAACTCATCCTAATTCGTGCATTGAATCTTTGAGATTGGTGCCGTATTTTACGAAGAACCTTTAGACGTTGTTACATAAAGATCTAAAAGAGTTATGAAATTGGTACAATAACGGGTTTTCTATGCTACTGCAACCAAATAAACACCAAAAAGAGTAACTGGAGTATTACCTGATAAAACAAGCGAGTTTTACAGCAGAACTAGCAAATTTCCTCATGAACCGTGACTCACTTCTTTAACTAACGCTTCACAAGTTAGATCAGCACTTAAACTTTTTATGCATATAAATGCACCAGACATTTACTGATGCACCGGCTACAAGTTCTTTATTTTTTTGGAAATCACCAGAAAATTGAAACCCGCATGTTCCTCTCACTTGTGTTGCTTATTCTAATTTCACAAGTAAAAGACGCACCTTTTTCCAATTTTTTCTCTAAGCAGCTTGGCCGTAATACTGCACCTCGCGAAATGGTCGCTGCCTCCACACAAAACTCTTGAAGGCGGTGTCAGATATAGCTGTGGTGGGTTTCTGGTCATCCCACCAGCCCTCAAACCTGCGCGCAAGCCCAATCAGCGCGCGCTCGGACGGGTTTCCTTTCCTTACCTGTTCGCCGCGTCCTACGACCCCTACCGCGCTATGCATGCTTTCCAGAGCCAAAATCACAGAGTCTTCGTGCCGAAGTCTTCCAACTTTCCATTGAAACTCTCGTCCAAGCTGCATTTTGGAAAATGGGTAAAAGCCACAGAAAGTCTTTTTACCCTTTAAAGCTCAGTGTTCTATGTCGAAAAGGCCTAAAACATGGAGAAAGGTGGAAACGCAAAATCTGCCGGGACACTGCCTTTGAGTAAAGAGCAGCAGAGTAATCGTTTGGTCGCAAAGATTTCAAGTGTGTCCAAACTGGTCGAGTTTAGAAAAAAACAGCTGCGTCTTGTATTCGTGAAAGGGCATTACAGTCTGAAAGTATTAGGTTGTCCAGAAATTAATGCAGGTTTCTGCAAATGCAATTTCAAAAAGATCATTCTTCAGTGTGTGTGCATCTTTGGACCAATTTCGCATACTAAAAGAAGCCACTCTTCATGCTCTCTCCTATTACTACTTCTACGACCAACTTCATTTGTTCAAAATCTATAACCATCCAAAGATGAAGCTTTAAATTACTAAATTTAACCTTTGCACTATTTTGGCTTGAACTTATTCGGCAAGAGGGGTATTTCCACGATAATACAGCTGAAGCAAGATATTGAGCGAACCTACAAAACAGATAGTAGCGCTTCTTTAGAACGATTGTGAGAGTAGAGAAACTGAAGCTTTAACATGAATAATTGTCGCGGCCACTCCATAGCGTAGAAAACTTTTACAAAGGAACCAACCGTGAAGATCTCTCCTCGTGCTTGAAGAGTGAGGCCAGTGCCGTCAAATATCATCTCAACTGGTTACCTTCCAAGCTTTATTTTTGGTGAGTTATTAAATAAATCAAAATTATCGGAGATCGCAGCAGTGGAGAAAATATCGAAAAAATGAAAAAATTTTTCCGCATATTTTTTGCAGAAAATTTCTAAAAAATTTTTTTCATAGCTTTATATGTAGTAATGGTCTGTGGCTATAAGCTACAGAAGTTTCTGGCTGAACACTCATGTTCGGTAGGAGTTTACAACTTGCCAAGTATGACCTTGTCAAAGAAATTTCTTTTTACTTTCTGGCTTTCAGTAATTTGCTTGTTGGAGCTACAGTTACAAAAGAAAATGTGCAAACAGAGAAAGACTTGCTGATCACAGTAGTTTTCACCTCATTTCAAAATATACGATTTCAAAGGAGTTATGATGCTTTGAAGTGAGAATATGCAAAACCTGCATTAATTTCCGGACAACCTAATACAACTATGAAAATACTAACCCTATTTGGGTTCAAGTGATTCAAATAAGCGATGTAGCATGTAACCCAAAAAACGTGGCGATTCGGATTTCTAGCATTGAAAGAGGTGCACTTGTCAAATTCATTGTGTTGTTCACTACATGATGACCAAGTGAGATGGCTCGTACAGTCTGTCCCAATCCTAATCAGCCAATATTGGCATGGCGGGAGTCCGCGTCGCTAGGGTTTTGCGTTACGCCCACGGCCGCTTGTCTGCCTTCTCTGCAATCTCTTCGCTCCCTCCAACAGCGCGCATATGTGGCGCAATACCCTAGCGCTGCGAGCGCGCAATTCAATCCAACGGTCCGGCCTGATCCCGTTTGGGGCAGACTAGGGTTTTTCAGGCACAATCGGTTATGGGGGAAATTACATTTAGCTTTGCCCTCAAAATCACGTGGATCACGAACAGAAGTCAATGACTGGTCCGCGACTTGCTTGAGTCTGAAAGCAACTGTACGGTGCAAAGCAAAGGCATTCGGCACCATGCTAGGCGACCACTTAATTCATCACGGTTCTCTAAAATAGAAAACTGACTTCGGGGAAAGGAACATAATTTATCAAGAGGCACCAGATAAGGAAGTTTAAAACGCAAAATGGACCAATATCACTGTGAAATCACCGGGGCGACCAAGCACAAGAAAATTCAACGCTGATTTGATTGTGAATTTCTTTTTAAAGTCACGTGTCGCTTTTTCACTTTGATAGTTTGCGGAGAGATTAATGTTTTTTCGAGGAGGCAGGAACTGCTAACCTCTCTCTCAGCGATAACACGTGCGAAGTGAGAAAGATAGTCATCCGTTTCTCCGATGTCCGTCTATCCCCGGCGATTGCCTGAGTAGTTGCTGTCTTCAGCGTTAACGAGCAAACTTGAGCTTGAACCATGCCATTAGCGCAACAACGTTTCGGCTACCATGGGATAGAGCAGCCTTTTGGTGTGGTGTACATAAAGTTGTAAACCAGTGTTGAATGATATTCAAAAATTACCTTGGCTCAGCAATCCAAATACTATTCTTCAACCGTGCGAACTGGCCATCACTGCGCGTTGAGCCAGATTGCGCAGCGTACGCAGCATACGCACATATGCATTGAGTGGGCCGGATTTCATACGGCATACGTGGCGCACGCGCCGTATCTTTGTGCACGTGAGCGTACTCCGCGCATTCTGGCCCAACTCTAAGACATGGGGGGAACGCTGCGTACGTCGCGCACGCCGCGTACAGTCTGCCCCAATCCCAGGCCAAAAGTGACATGGCGGGAGTCGGCTTCGCTAGGGTTTCGCGGTCACGCCCACTGCCTGCTTCTCTGCTCTATCTGCAATCCTTCTGCTCTCTCCGAAATGCGCATATGCAGCGCAAACCGCTAACGCTGTAAACGCGCAAATTTACGCCGACGGTTTGGCCTGATCCCGACTGTTGCAAACTGTATCGGCGCAGTCTGGCCCAAGCCTGTAGCGCACGTGACGGTGAAACGCTTGTCACAGTGCAAGCGGCAACTTTACAATCGTGCTCATGGAGGCATTTCAGCCGCGCTGACGGAGAAAAGGTAAACCAAAAATAACATACCGTAGTTCTTCAAGCTGGGGCGCATTTTCATGCCGAAATTTGGCGATATGCGACAAAGTGAGCGGATGCTCCAACAAGTGTTTGGTGCTTGCACAACTAGATCACTTGTTAAGATCAAGCAAGATGCTGTCTCACCCAAGCTAGTATCCTATCATCCTTTTTTTTCTGTAACATCCGTGAGTTCTTAAGACATTTCTCTTGCTTGAGAAGTTTTCTTTTTATGTGAGTGGGGAATGTGGCGTTGTGTACCGCTTTCAACGCCTGCCCACACTGGTCGACGTTTGCAAATACAGTGCTGGCCATAATTATAAAGACACCTAGAAACAATCGTAATTTGCGTTCTTGTTGACAAATCTGTCTGAACTTTGCAGTTTAGTGCGCATGGTTAGCCTAGGATGATCCCTCAAGACGGCTTCCGATTTTGTTGAGTTTAAATAGAGAAACTTAGAAAAATTTGAAAAACCCCTACCGAAAGCTGAACAAGATTATAAAGACACCTGGTTTTTTTTTGAACACCTTCGCATCTCCTAA